GATTTTCATGTGGTATATCAGAAAGTACTCAAGAATACAAGTTGCATATCATCGCTTTTGTCACAAGTACTTCCTAGTTTAACACTTGTTCCCCATGTTAAAGAAAACAAACTCATCATAGATACCAGAATTGAAATTTTGTAAAAAGACAGACATGTCTCTAAAGTATTATGTAAATGATATTAGTATCAATATGTTTTTTTGTTGTATAGTTTTCAATGATCTTCAACTTAGTTTTTGATTTTGCCATCCAACAAATATTTGTTCAAACTCTACTGATGAGTCTTTTGTAGGCGAAACGAGTTACTGGTGTTATAGTTAATAAGCCTGGTTTCCTTGATGAGGAAATCAGAGCGTGTGCTCTCCCGTCAGAAAAAGTTTCACATTTTGTCATGTAGGAACACTAAAGCTAACTATACAGTATGCATTTTTCTCATTGTTTAAGGTCGCACGTTGACTTATAGTTATTTACATGCACGTCATTTGGTCTCTGGTGGATAGTTGTCTCATTTGTCATCATACCACATTAAATACAATAACAAGGAGATAGTTTGTTTGAAATTTCCTCGAGGGAATGTTTTAGATTATAGATTTCATTGAGGTAAATTTTGGAGTATTTATTTTGCTTTGAGAAAAATGTCTAGGCAAAACATTTCCCAAGGATAAACATTTTCCCCTGACGCTAGTTTTTCTCCAGGGAAATCTGAAAAATGCTCCACTTTGATTTATTTATAGTATCGCCAACTGAACAAAATTCTTTTCAAGAATTGACAATTCATCTTTGAAAAAGAAAACTATCTGACTCTTATAAAAAGTTTACTGAATCTGACATCATCAAGACGTGATGTTTATTATTGACAATACACGTGTTACGTTTGGAGTGCGTTATTTTCAGTAGATTTAGATCTGTAACATCGACATTTGCAGCTATTGTTTTGATCTGTTTTACCCGCTATTAACTGTTATCTTGACAAGAATCGCATACAATAAGTAGGAGATAAAGACTATTTTTTTTCATTTTGACTATCTCGATTTCGTACATAGATGTGTGTATTTGATTCAATTTTGTCGATTTGATTGTCTTGGTGGCTTTTCAAACGTTTGACACTAGCTCTCTTGGTTTTTTGGATCTAAAATTAAAATAGCATAAAAATTGTAAAGATCACGTTGTCTTTCTCAGCAACCCCACCCGACTATATCAGCACACAAAAAACTCTCAGATCGTGAACATGCATCTACATATTACTTTAGTACGTTAAATGTAAAACCAAAGATGAAGCCCTGTCGTCCGTCGTCTTATATAGAAATATTTAGATGTGAAATGATTGAAAACGAGAAACTATCCATAGACTGAAGGACCTAGATTTTAACAATTACAGGTCACTGTGTGGTCTTTATCAACACCATACAGTGAGCTAATGAAGGCATCGACATGATAAAATATTAAACCATGCAAAAGAGTAAACTAACGGCCAGATTTATACCTCATAACAAATGTGGCTGCTGTGAATATTAATATAACATACTAACATGTTTTTCTTGTTGTCCTTTGTGTAGGAATACCATTGCTTATAATACATTCATGTCAGTCTAGCAACTAAGTACCACTTTGGCACGCGGGAACCACATTAGACATTCATAATCATAGATCACTGATTGACGGCGTAAAGTGTACTTTAAGGTCGACAATCATAAATGGACTGGTTAGCATTACTCCCGCGCAGTGAGTGTGAGTTAAGTTTTCAAAGCGTTTACGATAATCGCAATTACAATAGATACAAAGGAATTATACGAATAGTAAACAGTCAAAATGAAACTTTCATGTTTCACAGGATTTGTACTTGCATTAGCAATACGAGGGTGACTACATGTAGAACAGGAACTGGAGCACCGATTTCACCCCAGGTTGTTGATGAGATTCATATTGCGAATTTTTTTAGTATTTTATGTAGGTGTAATACCAGCATTGATTTTCCCCTATTAGTCTTTGTTAAATTTGCACCTCTCAAAAATTTGTGCAGAATTTATCTTTGTGTCAAATAAAGAAATACTTGGCATGAGTAAAGCTTTATCCTGTCCAGTACTTTGGAAAAATTTTTACATAACATTTCATTGCATACAAGAAAATAACCATCACTGGAAGCTAACCAATCAAATGTTCACCTCTTTTTTACCTGTGTGCAAGCTTTAGTAACCATGTAACCTCAAGTTTCCAAAATATTCTATAGAAACCCCAAATAAAAAAATAATGGTGCTTTGAAATATCCAAGATGTATGTTTATGACCCAAAATTTTTTTACTGCAATGAAATGTAGGATAAATTACCTGCAACTGTCAAATTCAAGGGAATATTTTGTACGATCCTTGTTCGTATGCAACCGGATGTGACGTACTATGATTTGGTGGTATTACACCAGTAGTGTTTTGTGGACTTTTTTTGTCTTTTTTCGTTTTTTTTTTAGGCCATTGCTCAGTCTTTGAATTCCCCCTTGGCACATGCATCATCCGTCCCTTTTCACAACTAAATAAAAATATAAGTTAAAAAAAGGTCTTTCAAAGTATTCGCAATCTAATTCAATGTTATTTTCTGATTTGTTTTCTTAAAGCAATACGATACTCTAGTTCTATATATATCTCTGTATCTCATGTATAGTCAATCATAATTTTGGTTGTTTAATACTTTGATTTGAGTTGATAAAGAGTTCCATTTGAGTTAAAAGTTTGCTGATTTGTTCTTTTATGAATACCCTTTTTTTTCGTATATTTGAATCTGTTTCAAATAAACTCATCATAGATACCAGGATTGAAATTTTGTATTTACGCCAGACGCGCGTTTCGTCTTCAAAACACTCATCAGTGACGCTCGAATAAAAAAATGTTAAAAAGACCAAATAAAGTACAAAGTTGAAGAGCATTGAGGACCAAAAATTCCTTAAAGTTTTGCCAAATACAGCTAACGTAATTTATTCCTGAGGTAGAAAAGCCTTAGTATTTCAAAAATTCAAAGTTTTGTAAACAGTTAATTTATAATTAGGACATTATTAATGATAATTCGTGTCAACACAGAAGAGCTGACTACTGGGCTGGTGATACCCTCGGAGAATAAAAACTCCACCAGCAGTGGCATCGACCCAGTGGTTGTAAATAAACTCATCTCAGACACCAGGATTGAAATTTTGTATTCACGCCAGACGCGCGTTTTGTCTACAAAAAGTTAAATCACAAAAAATACTACAAAAGACTCATCAGTGACGTTCGAATCTAAAAAAGTAAAAAAGGCCAAATAAAGCACGAAGTTGAAGAGCATTGATGACCCAAAATTCCTAAAAGCTTTGCCAAATACAGCTAAGATAATTTATTCCTGAGTTAGAAAAGCCTTAGTATTTCAAAATGTTCAAAGTTTTGTAAACAGTTAATTTATAACTATGACCATATCAATGATAATTCATATCAACACAGAAGTGCTGACTACTGGTCTGGTGATACCCTCGGGGATTAAAAACTCCACCAGCAGTGGCATCGACCCATTGGTTGTAAATAAACTCATCATAGATACCAGGGTTGATTTTTTTTATTTATAGTCCGATATAAACAAAAAAGCTAGGAGTTCAATCACGAGTAAAGAGAAATAACTATTATAAGAAATCGTCTTTTCATTGTATGGTGGATTTTCGATAGATCTTTTCTTTCCAATTAATTATGCACCTTTCATATTTTCCTGGGCGTATGTATCATGTGTATTTCCATTATAAAGCCATTAGACACGTATTTGCATTTCACCCGTTTGTAATATTTCAGAAGTGTCGATCATGTTGTAGATAGACCGAAATATGATGCAAAGTTTAAAATTCAGTCAAAATAAAGATATTTCATTTAAATGTTGGAATAGTCATATGGGTGTTAGAGAAGTTTTTCAGAAAAGTAACGACAGTTGATCATGGACGACAATACTTAAATGATCTACATGGTCCAGGTGACCAAGGTAAATATGCGGAAGGCATTCAGATGTGTTGTCAGCTGGATTTGTAGAACTACTAGTAACTGTTTTATCAGTAAAAATCATTACTTAAAAAAGCGCAGAAGCAGGCACTTGAAATTCGATGTTTTTTTTTATTATAACTTTTCTCACTAAGTACAATATAACAGACCTTTACTTTTAATTAACATAACCCTTTTCATAGTAAAATAGATACATAAAAAAATAGTCAGTGACCTCTTTATCTTACAGATAAAACTTCCCCTTTTTTTATCTTAATCTAAAAGCTACATGCATATCTGAGTAATAGTTAAACTTATACAGTTTTAAACCATTTACTCGATATCATCTGTATCATCATTCATATTTTCTGCTACTCCCAGCCTCATTAACAATTTATACATACAATGACATAGCCGTATCTGACATTTTAAAATTTTAGTTATATGCATACCTTTACGAATAGTCTTGGCAGAGTCATAATATGCAACATGGTTACTTTTCAAGTGTAAGAGGATTTTATGTTATAGGAACTTTTGGCTAAGATATATAGCATGTAATATATATTGTTTATCATCATTATTATCAGAGACATTAACTATAATTTCAACTTAATTATTCTGGAAAATAATGACAAAAGAGTCTATAGTGTATTTGAAAAATGATATTTTGGTTTCCTGTTTTCGGAGATATCTTGATAAAAGTTTTTAAATTCTTAGAAGACTTTATGTGGAATGTTATCCTTCTTTTATCCCTTTAATGTAAATAAAATATTATGTTGAACTGCATAAAATTGCATAAATAGAATTGTCATCAATGCATTTCTATTTTTATTTCGAAATATCCTTAAAAATAGACATTACTGATGAAATAGAGTGTATAAGAAGTCATAATCTGATTTTTATTACTTTTTGTATTCTAGGTGTCACCGATTAGCCAAGTAGTGCTTAGCTTTTTTAAAAAGCTATTACTTTGTATATTAATTGGCTGGTTGATTTTCGAGTCATGTGATTAGTTTTATTGAATATCAATACACAAAAGAAATATTCTGAAGCGTTTATAATTTTACTGATATTCAATTTACTGGTTAGTACATTTTTAAAAGTAATATAAATTTGTTAAATTAAAATATATGCGTACAGTTTTAGTTTGAAAAATGAAATATGGACTTCGAAATTGGACAACAAGAATCTACTTTCGTTTTTAAATGAAAATGGTCCACGTAAAAAAAGTGAATCAGCTTTGTCTGTTCCTGTCTCTTTTACTTTCTTTTATTTGCGTTGTTTAAAATCTTTTTCTGATATCTATCTATACTATGTTATAGATAATGCATATTTAAAGGTTTTCCTTGTCGTAGAACACACCTCGGGGTGTCAGGGTTGCCCAAAGAAAGACCTTCTTACGTAGAACACACCGAGGGGTGTCAGGATTGATCAAATGAAAGACCGACCGATCATGTGTTCTACCACAAGAAAAACCTTAAATGATGATGGAAGATTTTAACGACCTTGACTGGCTATACAGCCTTAAAATGTGCATTTTCTGACTTATATACCGTCAAAAAAAATATTTATTTTTTACAAAGATTTGCAGGATTAGCATCCTATTTTACCGACCACACTAAAGTTCCTCTCTGATCCGTTCAGGTTTTAATACGCCCTACGGCTCATTTAGAATGTGAAATAAAACTCACTAATTAATCTAGATATAAACGTTTGAAATTATTATCCAGACACAATACAATTATTACTGTAAGTATTAGATACGTATATGTAAGAGAATGATAATCCCTTTCTTCATGATTAAGTACGAGCGTTAGCGAGTACTTATCATGAAGTAAGGGATTATCATTCTCTTACAAACTTAGAATATTGTAAAGTGCTCAAGGCTCAAATTATCTCTTAATTGGTTGTATTTAAGAATTAGTTTCATTGTCAGTGCAATGTTTATAATTAATGCATGACATCCTTTTTAGGCATTTCATTTATGAATTAGTTTTAGTGGTGTAAGGACTTTCTTATCATTTGAAAATATTTTTTAAAAAAATGCTTTATACATATAAGCTGACACAACAAAACACAGAAAATGTAGGAATTGTATATGTTTTCTGATTGTGAGTATGAATGTAAATCATGTAATATTTTAGTGAGGAAGTATCCTTTTTTTATATTTACAGTTTAAATCAATTGATACATTTGAGTTACAACAAAATTGTATTTAAGCCAATATTTTGGTCCAGCTTTTTACATTTAAATACTATTTCATTATGTCAGGGAAATGTTCAAATAAAATGCCTTTAAAAGTTTTTTTATATGTTCAAGACTTAATTAAATTCCTGGGTTTATTTTTAATTTGATCGGAATATTGGAAATAATTATTCTTCCAAACCGCTGATCCAGTGATCAAAGTTTTGGAAAGCTAAAGATTAAGGTATCTTTTTTTTTATTTTAAAGCTTTTTTTTTCTTGCTTTTTTTCAAATGCTTTGGTATTGTTTACTTCTGTAATAATTTGAAGTTATTAATATTTTCATTATATTTATTAACATTCACGGTATCAATTTTACTGCACAGAAAACTTCAACTTATTTTGAGTTTATTGTTTGTTTCGCAATTCAACTTTTAGTCAGTTTCAATCACTGTATGATAAATCCTTTCAATCGGATAAATGTGCTTCGGGGCAGTTGTGACTCATTTATAGAAACTCTTTGTTTTGAACTGTAAATAGACCCAAATAATAGGATAATCCCTTACTAAGAACATGATTTACATTCATTCTTCACAATTAAGAGGCATCAAATTCTACAATTTCATTGGTCGAGAGCACTTTGTTATATTCTAAAATACATTAGAATATAGCAAAGTGCTCTCGACCAATGAAATTGTAGGATTTGGTGTTTCTTAATTGTGAAGAATGAATGAAATCATGTTCTTAGTAAGGGATTGTTTAGGCCTACTTACAGTTCAAAACAAAGAGTTTCTATAAATGAGTTACAAATGCCCCGAAGCACATTTATCAGCTTGAAAGAATTTGTGATTAAAACTGACTAAAAGTTGAATTTTGAAACAAACAAAAAAAATCAAAATTAGATGAAGTTTACTGGTGCAGTAACATTGGTTACTGGATCCGCGGTTGGTGAGAATAGTAATTTCCAATATTCTGATAAAATTCTACAAAAAAGGAATTTAGTTTAACTTTTGAATAAATTTCAAACTATTTTAAAGGTATTATATTTGAACATTTCCCTGACATAATGAAGTAGTATTTGATGTAAAGGACTGGACTAAAATATTGGCTGTCAAATTTTGAATTTATTGATTTGAAATGGAAATAAACAAAAAGATAATTTATGATCCAATCGCAGCTTACCGTCCAAAATTGGTGATATAAGTTGAATGATTTTCTTCAAGATTTGCTGCCTATTTGAACATGTATTACACGGACACTTTTATTTATAGGATCAATCGTGCATTGGTGAGTTGATAGGGATAAAGACCATAACCCATTGAAGGGGTTGCTAAGTTTTTTTTCTATTTGCAGTGGCGGATCCAGAAATTTTCGTAAGGGGGGAAGGGGGAACTGCCTAAGAGGGGGCCCATTCCAGTCATGCCTCAGTGATTCCCTATATAACCAACCAAAGTTTTCTAACAAAAGAGGGGGTGTCGGGCACACCCCCCTAAATCCACCTCTGATTTGTAATGACATTTTAATCGCGGAAAAGAGATTATTTTTCAACACTTTTTAACGAATGAACTATTCAGAAAATTTTCTGTTTAAATGGCAATACATTTTTTTAAACAGAGAATCGGGATTTAATTGTATACTCCCCGACCCCATTGTGAGGTACTTGGCTGTTATTCAATAGAATATAAGAACTTTTATCTGTTGATCATTTGATAGAGTAAAAAGTATAATATAGATGTAAAGAGTTTAGACCTGATACGAAGAGAGTACGAACTCGTGGTACATGTACATGTAACACGAAAACGAATATCAATACATGTAGGTCACAGTATGCTTTCCTATTCAGTGTGAATCGATAAGATTTTCATCTCAGATATATGATAAATGTCCCTTTAATGTAGCGATAAATTACCAAATCGTCACATTATTTGTTTTAAAGTTAAAATGCGCGTCAATGAAAATTTTTTGTTAAACCTATCGAAGATAGAACTTTAAAAAAATAAATTCCCCAATTGGCAACAACAAACTATCAAACAAATTAAATGTTGAAGTATAAATAATAGTTTGTGTTTTTATCAAAGAAAATAATGACCTCACACAGGTCATAATTTTATGCCTTGACGCATATTTCATTGAAACATGGTATCGTCCGGGTTAATTCCTCGAAAGAATGACTTATCGTTCTGAAAGAAAATAACTCCATATAGGTATATAATAAATGAGAAGACCTCATTTTGTGTCTCACTTATCTTCCTTCCACAAGAAATTAATCATCGTGCCTCTGTGTCCTATAGGTACATGTACCATGCATAGTCGCATTTGTTATCCTCGCTAATGCTTATTTCGTTTGGGATATTTTGGGAGGAAAAATGAGGCGTCCGGATATTGTTTCCGTCATTGGACGGACTTTTAAGTCATAGACAAGACTTCCGTTTAGGACTGTTTAGAATTACACATTATTTTAGAATAATAAATATAGATAAATAAGTAAATAAATAAGCGTTATTTAGAGTTGACATAGTGTACAAACAAGGACATAACATACGCTCTAATGAGCTTTTAACCGACATGGGTACTTGGGGACAGGACAGTTATTTTCGCGTTTTTCTGTATACTTTGAAAACTGATACATATATACTATAAATATAGTGTGTTTGCTATTTTATCAATTCCAAGTTTACTATCCACGGCGGTCAATGATATATTAAGACAGCCTCTATATAATATATCAGTGACCACCGTGGATAGTAAACTTGGAATTGATAGTAAATAGCAAATACACTTTATTTATAGTATATGTATGTTCATAGTATACAGTCTACAGAAAAATACGCAAAAATAATTGAAATTATAGAAAACAAAAAATTACGGGTTTTGAAAAAAGGGGGGGAGGGCTAAACAAAAAATGTCCTGTCCCCAAGTACCTATGACTTTTGATACCTTTCCCGAAGTTCTCCAGTCATAATCTTTTACAAAAATTCATCCTTACGTTTACAAATACTTTCAACCACGCACTAAATGCCCGAGATTTCGCGGGTGTGTTCTAGTTATATTCAAATGACTTCAAACATGGAAAATCTGTACGTTGAAGATTCTTTGAAGGGATTCTATTTGTATAAAAGGAAAATCAAAGGACAATAACTGTGTCCCGGACCATAACTTTAACAATACTAATTTAAGAGCACAAACCTGTTCATTTAAGTATTGTCTCCTAATTTCTACACCATTTACGTAGCATTTTGTCACGTCTTGTAGGTTAAGGAGATTAAGGAGATGCGGAATATCAATTAATGAGACCAAATATTACACATGCCAGTTCAAATTCATATTGACAAACCCGATGTCATCCAGGCATATTACCTACAGTTATATAGGCTACTTTGGTGGCCTTCGGCTCTTTGGTCGGGTTGTTGTCTCTTTGACATGTTCCCAATTTCCATTCACAATTTTACATTAAATATAAAACCTACTTTATTTTTATATACTAGTAGAACATTAAAATAATAATAAAAAGAGAAAAACACGTATCAAAATTTGACAAAAATTGACGATTGGATAAATAAATCAAGGCATCTTTCTTCAATTTACTTTAGATATGAGATTTGTTCGCTAAAGACATTAATTTTATGTTTACCGAGGTCCTTGCCCGACGGAAATATGACTTTTCGAGGGCAAACAAATCTTCATATCTCCCTAAGCCAAGGGAAATGAATGTTTTATTCCACTGTCTATACTTCGTTTGCTACTATGTAACTTCACATAATATATTAATTTACTTACTTTTTTCTTATCTGCTTGTTTTCATATAACTAAACACGACTTTCGTTAAAACATTGATCAACAGTGCCGAACAAAAGTTAATTCCTGTAATTACTATTTTTGTTTTGATTTTACGTCCTAAATAATTTTGAACACTATAATGATTTTACTATCGCAATTCGCCGTTTCAGAATCTAATGCATTCTGGGTAATATTTCCAAAAGCGTACACCAAAACGTTGTGATTGGTTTAAAACGTGATAAACAATAGAAATTCAACCAATGGCGAAACATTATTTTCATTTTTGTGTACAAACAATGCGATTACCCATAGTCCTTTAGATTCTGAAAAGGCGAATTACAAAACGTTCAAAATGTAATGTACATTATTCGCGCTTCCCGATGTTTGGTGGAATATGAAATTTTGTCCAATGTCACGTGAAATTGTACTCAACCAATTAACTGCAAAAAATGTATATATTATTGATTAAGTTATCAAATTTAACATACAGTGGAATAGTATTTTTCTTCTATGTGAAATCGAAACAATTGTTACTTTGAAAGTTTAACATATCTGTTACATTTTGATTTATGTTTCTTAACAGCTTTCCACCTACATAAAATGGCTACAGAAAGGGGAACTCTTTGTGGTGTTTGCACGTCCCTCTCAGTGTCTAGATCTGCCGACAAATGGTGTCCTGAATGTGACGAGGGATTTTGTTCCACTTGTCTTAGTCATCATAATGTTGCAAAAGCTACACGTGAACATGAAGTGATCAATGTAGAAAATTATGAAAAGCTACCTGATTACGTATTGAAAATTCGGCAGACGTGTGAAACTCATGGAGCAAAGTATCAAAATTATTGTCGTCTGCATGAACGCCCATGCTGCCGAAAATGCATCGACACAGCAAACAAGAAATGTCAGGATCTTCCCCCTTTAGATGAGGTTATGTATACTGCTAAGTCTTCATTTGTTTTGGATAACCTGATGGAACGCATTGGAATTCTTAGAAAGTTCTATTCATGCGCACAAAAAGTGATAGAAAATACTACCAAAGATCTGAAAAAAAATGCAAAGATATCGAAAAAGAGATAAAGAAGATTAGACGAGAAATCAACAGTCATTTGGATACAATGGAGACGCAATTACTCCAGAAGCTGTCAGAAATCGACAGTACAAATCTACAACGCAGTAATAAATGGATAAAAGAAATGATGACGAAAGAAAACAAAAGTGCTAAATTAGAAGAAAATCTTCAAACAATAAAACAGTATGGATCCGACATGCAAGTATTCCTAGGGGCTAAGCAGATGGATATAGAAGTGATCGAAGAAGAACGCAATGTCCTAAAAATGAGTGAAGATAGAAATTTAAGATTAACTTCGGTATCATTTCCAATTGACAAAGCACTGCAAAATATTATTCAAAATGTCGAAAAGTTGGGAACAATTTGCCTAGAAGAAAAACCAAAATGCGTAGTTTTTCAGAATTTCATAAAACAACAAGCCCAAGCTGTATCATTAGAAAATCGTGATGAACAAGGCAGTTTTCAAGCTTTTCCACAAGTACAAGGGTATGCAAAGAGTCGCAGTATGCCGCAACCTGCTGATTTTCTTACTCACATTAGAGTTGATCCACGCTTTATAATTAATACCGGAAATGGCATATTTGCTCTTTACAATGGCCAAATGTATCAATCGTGCAATAACGGATGGATTCGCACATCAGGTACATATACCAAAAAGAATCCGTCTCAACAGTATTAAAGTTTTTAAACTGAATATGTCTTCTAAATCCCTGATGTTGTATTAAGGAACGTTTTTGTTTTTAATATGATGCTCTCATTTGCGAGTGTACCAGTACATATATTATGTTTGCATGCTTAATATATACATCTGCTCTTTGGTCGGGTTGTTGTCTCTTTGACATATTCCCCATTTCCATTCTCAATTTTATCTGTGCGGACATGATCTATCATTGGTTTGAAATACTACGGATATTTTACCCTAAGAATGAATTACATTTTTTGTACCATAGCTGTCTTGTAAAACCTTTCGGAATTTTAGGTCCTATATACTCTTGAACTTCTTTAATTCGAGCGTCACTCATGAGTCTTGTCGTTTAGCGGTATGGGTTTGATCATTGTTGAAGGTGACCTAATCATGGTTGCTAATTTCTATGACATTTAATCATTAACAAATTATTAATCATATAATCCATTCAGTATCTCAGAAATGACAAAAAAGATATCAAAAACTACAATAAAGAAAACTTGCTGTCCCAAATGAAGTATTAGAATATTCTTACCCATTTATGATAAAAAAAAATTACCTGGAAATAGGAAAATACCCCAAAAAGATTCATTGCAGGGACTTCTCTTTGATTGCTAGTGATCGATTGTCTTGCAAACTATTTAATGCACAAGTAACAGCCAGTTTGGTTTCATAGAAAATCACAGAAAGGCAGATAGTATTTTTTATAATCAAATCATATAAATTTGAATTACTATTAAGTAAACAAATGATGACAAAACCCCGTCATATGTATAACAACCTTATTTGGAATATAATTTAAGGACATCAAACTTTACGTATGCAAAATAGATAACCAAAAAAAATCAGTGACCATAATCTTAATAAGTTTATAGAAATGACGAAAAGTTTATATCCATATAGAGGATTCTGAATTAAATTTAACATGTATATAAATATCAATTTTCATTTTTTTATGTTATTATTCTGTACTAATATAATAAAAAAAGATGTGGTATGAATGCCAAGGAGACAACTATCCATCTAAGTTCAAATGAGTGGATATATTACATCATAGGCAAGCGTATGGCCTTCAACAATGAGAAAAATTCATACCGTGTAGACGACTACTAAAGGCTCCGACATGAACAATATTAAACAATTCAATAGAAAAACTAACGGCCTAATTTATAACAAAATGTTTTACGGAAAACAGACATGAACCAACGACAACCACTGAACTTCAGGCTCCTGACTTTGGCTAAGCACATAAAGAATGTAGCGGGGTTAAGCATGTTTGTGAGCAATCAACCTTCTCTTAACCTGGGAAAGTGGTGTTACTGCACAAATCGGGACAAATTGTAAAAATCAATTGAAAAAAGGATAACTTATCAGATCAATACAAAGCGGAAATACATAAAACTTAAACACCGACCGGACGTGGCAGGGTATTTATTCTAAAGCAGGTCTTTGACGATCTGATCAATCGACAATTACAAAACCACTTGTTGAAACTGACTCGATATACTTTACATCGACGTAACAGCACGACATAAGACACACTATAAAGTTTTGTTGGAAAGGATTCGACTCAGCAGAGGGCAACATGGCACACACAAAATCTGTAACGAAAAGTTAAAATAGAAAAAAAGTACCGATCTAACTTCTACGTCATTTGGTCTCTGATGGGGAGTTGTTAAATGTACATGGCAAAATCCTATGTACTTTATTCATTTGAATTGCACCAATACACTTTGGCCCTTTTGATTAAAGATTAAATGATTCCCTTAGTTGTAGATTGAAAATAAAAATTTTAAACTACATGTATATGCCATTTTGTTTTTCTTTGTTGACATATTTGTTTTTATAGTGATTAAGATTATTATACAATGTTGACTGCTGTATCCCTATTTTTGACATTTTTACCTATCATGTCTGTTTGTTTTGTTCACACATTGTTGTCAATATAATGGAATTATATGCGACTTTCATATAAGTGTGAGGTTTAGCTAGCTAGAAAACCAGGTAAAATTCCACCATTTTCTGCGTAAGGACATGCCTGTACAAAGTCAGTACAGTATTCATATTGTTTTATTGCATAACCACTGAATGTAGATATTAATAATCTCAATGTTAATGAGATTAAAGATGGTTTAATTAAGAGCTATATGCAATTTTGAAAGAGTTGGTATTACTAAGTTTCATTAAAAAGAATAGCGAACGTAGATACAAGTATCTTGTCTTGGGGAGGGATAAATCCTACTTTGTAAAGAATCACTCTTATTCAAACAAAAAATTCTCTGAAACTGACATTATCAAGATGCTTGATTTCTTGATTGACAACATATTTGTTACGTTTGAAGGACGTGTTTTTCAACAGACTGTCGATATTCCAATGGGAACCAATTGTGCCCCTCTTCTTGTGGACTTGTTTTTTATTATTATGAGGCTGACTTCATACAGGAACTTCTTAGGAAGAAAGATAAGAAGTTAGCAATATCCTTTAACTTTACGTTCCGCTATATAGATGATGTTCTCTCACTAAATAATACAAAATTTAGTGACTATGTTGAACGAATCTATCCCATCGAACTAGAGATAAAGGATACTACAGATACAATTAAGTCTGCCTCATATCTTGACTTACATCTAGAAATTGACAATGAGGGTCGGTTGAAAACAAAAGTTTACGACAAAAGAGATGATTTCAGCTTCCCGATTGTGAACTTTCCATTTCTATGTAGCAACATTCCAGCAGCGCCTGCATACGGAGTATATATATCTCCAAATTGATACGATATTCCTGGGCTTGTATTTCCTATCATGATTTCCTTGATAGGGGATTGCTGCTCACAAGGAAGCTATTAAACCAAGAGTTTCAAATGGTGAAGTTGAAATCATCCCTTCGTAAATTTTACGGACGCCATCACGAGTTGGTTGACCGTTATGGAATAACCGTTTCACAGATGATATCGGATATGTTCCTTATGTCGTAACTACAATACCCTTCCCTTTTCACGAATGTGACCTACCGAATTAGACTACTTACCGGATTTGTAATAACATAACAACACGACGGGTGCCACATGTGGAGCAGGATCTGCTTACCCTTCCGGAGCACCTGAGATCACCCCCAGTTTTTGGTAGGGTTCGTGTTGCTTAGTCTTTAGTTTTCTATGTTGTGTCATCTGTACTATTAATTTTCTGTTTGTCTTTTTATTTTTGGCCATGGCGTTGTCAGTTTGTTTTCGATCTATGAGTTTGACTGTCCCTCTGGTTTCTTTCGTCCCTCTTTTGGAAAGATAATCTTTTACAAAATGCTAAAGTGAAAAAGGGCAAATTAGTGCGGTGACTGAAGGCAGTGTTTTTGAAATTTAATGTCCCCACTGAACACACACCTATATAATATATCATTCGAAAGAATGATCCTTGTACTATCACAATATGCCTGTCATAAGGACCTGATATGGTCACATTTCTTTTAAATTGAGGTCAAAGATTATCTTAACAAATCTGTGAAAATTTTGAAGTGTTTCAATTTCGACATTTTTTTCTATTTCTAATCAACGGTACAGTTTTGGCTTTAACAATGTTTCTTTGAATACATATACTTCAATCATAAATACTTTTTTCACCAAAAAAATCCCAAAACGACGTTTTAAAAACAAAACTTCAAAAATCCTGTTTTCAAACTATAAAATGTTTAGGTCACCTTTAACCCTATAAATTATTTTAATTTCCAGTAAAAATCAAGTGTCATGAAAGACAATAGTCAATACTTCAAAATTATTTTTACAACTAGAATATTGGGTGAGGTATCAAACCAGAAGCAAAAGAACACTACAGTCAAATATGACTTAAAATTGAATTTGCGGATACTTTTTGTTTATAGACTACTCATTTCTTCAGGGGTTTTCTCACAATTATTAATGCTTCCAAAGTATTATTTACTGCTGTATATATTGTTCTGGTTAAATGTCTATTACATTACACCCCCTCCTTGTTTTCCCTTGCAACGTACCACATACTTCAAAAGGTATTCAATATAAAGAGAAGAAGATGTGGTATGATTGCCAATGAGCTAACTCTCCACAATAGACCAACTGACAAAGAAATTAACATCTATAGGTCACCGTACGGCCTTCAACAATGAGTAAAAGCCATCCCGCATAGTCAGCTCGTACAGTCCCCGAAATGACAAAATAATGTAAAACAATTCAAACGAAAAATCTAACGGCCTCATTTACGTAAACAAAAAGGAACTAAAACAAATGTGATATACGGAAACAAACGACAACCAGTGAACTTCAGGCTCCTGACTTGGGACCGGCACATACATAATGTGTTTTCCCATACAGTTGTTGGTCAAATGCCTGAATAGCATGATTTTGTCAAATAGACTTGGTCATGTCCAAGCATTTTTTCATGGTAGTATATACTTTTGACATTGAAGTCAATAATGGTTGGGTATGAAACATCTGAAAATTCAGGCCTGACATCTGAAAGAGTGCTATTGTACCCACTCCAGGAAGGAAGTTGGGGAGTGTAAGATGGTAATGCAAAAGGTAATTAAAGAATACCTCTAGATAAATATCTCAATAACACTTATAACATATCCAGTGAATTTGTTCTTTCAGTAGCACAAAATGATGTTTTTCCATATGCATTATGAACTCTGGGTGGTTCTGTTCGAATTTTTGGTTTTTGGACATGGCATCCTCGGTCATTGTTACAGATCTCTCGTCACCTTCTTTATTTTTTTAGCTTAAGGTGGTACCAAAAACCTTGACTCAAATTAATTTGGCTCGTTTAATTTTCATAAAATTTTGACAAAATGTTTTCTTTGACCCTTTGACAAAAATATGAAAATTTCAAAAAACTTAAACCACACGCTTTATCGGAAAAATTTCGTTGGATATATAGCAGTTTGACAAACACTTATATTGATCATTGAGAAGCTTAATATTTCCTTAACAATAGAACGTGATTAAAACGTTCAGCTGATTTTTACAGAGTTATCTCCCTGTTGTGTTTTTTACCACTTTAACCGGTTCAATAGATTTATTCGCATTAAATACTTGAAAAACTGCCCATGCCATTTAATGAAAGGTGTTTTTTACATCTTAGTCTATGAGTTCCGTATTCAAATAAATGTTATCAGCACCTTCTTTAACAAGACCCCCATCCCGCCAGAGAAACATTATACAGGACATACACAGCATCTTGAATTCGTTCAATTGTATGGTTGGCAATACTTGATAGATAGAGCTGCACTCCACTGTACAAAGCACACAATCCATTGGCATTTACTGTTTCAACAAGTTGTTCAAACTCATGATACATTTGTAAAGTAAATCTTAAATGTAAAGCAGTAAAACTGTTTTTGGTCACAAAAACAATTGACTCAACAATTGCCAAGCATTTATACAATTTCTCGGGTGCCATGTCCTGATTATAGACTTGGTTGTATGCAGTATCATCCAGTAACCATGAAATGAATTGCAATAAAGACGAAAGCATAGAATGAATTGAAGGAGGAAGAGACAATTCATCAGAAGTTGGATATTCTTCTGTGGAAATCTATAGAGTTTCGATGTTTTTTTCTAAGTATACTTGCAGCGGAATGCAATATATGTTCCTTATTTGTGTCTATTACTGTTGACATTGATGCCTGCATCTCAGAGATTTTGACGTCAGAATTTAATTGACTAGCAGCTGATATGGTATCCCTAATAGTTATGTTTCTACTTAATATTATGTTAGATTTACCTTAACCTTGTTGTGGTTGTATGACAACTGAGTGTCTATGCAGTTTCCAAATAGAATATTTCAACTTAGAATCAGTAGGAAAGAAAGATTTATATTCACCAAGTAACGTTGTCATGAGGAATGCTTTTTTTTCACAATAAAATCGTTGTCAATAGCCAATATAAAATTAGTAAAAGCAGTTTCGTGATCTGTGA